AAGGGCGAAGAGGTTAATTACTCTCGCCTCTCCTGCCTTTCATTTTGTAACGAAAGTGAAAGCGGCGCGGGGTGCATGTTTGTGTTCCCGCACTGCCCCGTTTGTTTTGGCTCGGAGCGGCGTGTGCGGTGCCGGGATTTACCGGGATAGCCCCGCCCGGGCTGGTGCTGCAGGAGTTCCCTCTCGTTCCCCTGTGCCGCTGGGGTTTTCTTACAATCGCTGCTGAAAACGCTCGGGGTGTACTGAGATAAAGGCGCAGTCGCACGCCCTGGTCAGACGCGGTTCTGCGAACGGGATCTCGTGTCAAACCCTCCCGAGCAGTGATTTATTGTATGCAGAGCCGAGACCGACCATAAATATTTAGCTCCAGCTCGTAACTGATGTGCGTTGTGGCGAGACTGCAAAACAAATCTAAACAACGCCGGTGCAGCGCTCGAAATGGGAGGAAAGTAACTGTTTTATCTCGTTTACTCTTCGGTATCATACTGGGAGAAGTCTGTTATGGGAATAGCACAGGGAAATAACTCTCAATACACATGGCAGTGTAAATTTATGTTCAGCAGTGGTGCAGGAACACAACCTGTATGTACGTTGAACAATGGGCGAGGAAAAATATCAGTATCGATAGTTTTGTACAACTTTGTCGAAGAGATGTGGTGTCCAAATTAAGAATTATATTGACATATTTTGAAAAAGTGGGGAGTCTGAGTTATTCTTACCAGCAGTGATGCCTGCTGGTGTGTAGTGCGTGATATGTGGTAATGTGTTACTCGGTTGTCAAAATAAATTTAAAAATACATAAGGCTTCCCTCACTGGTCAGTATGAGGCCCAGGCTTTTTTTGTGATAACATTCTTCTGTTTGCTTTTCACTGCAGTGTCTTGATTCTGGTTTTTGTCCTGCAAATAAGTTTTAAATATGTTGTTGAAACCCCTTCCCTGGAGATGTCACTGGTATCTGCAATTTGAAGTCTGGATGTTACCTGAAAATCACTGAGCCCAAGAACTATCATCTTAGTCTTTCAAATGGACAAAGATGACTTAATTTTTCAGTGGAATAAGAATGAATTTTTCATTTTTGTGTATTATAATCTCACAAATGGAAAATGTGTATAGATTGGATTTTAAATTGAGAATTTACAGGGGGGAAAATCTAATTAAAGGCTTTGTGCATAATTTGTCTTTTGTGGGACTAGAAGTTCTCCAATTTACTGTGCTTTGTTTGATCTACCTGAATTTTTATCATCAGCAATCAAGTTGTACCATGAATCTGAAACTGCTTTATGCTTTGTTCTCTCAGATATTTCAGTATAACAAAGCAGCTTATGCTTTAAACCCTCAGTTAAGTTTATAGTTTCCCTAAACTTAAAAGGGCCCTACATGCTGTAGTAAGACAGTAGTAAAAATTTACATATAGAAATTGATAATATATTATGTAATTATTCAGCAGCTTACTATGCACACACAATTACACAAAGTTAAAGAGTTATCATCTCAAAACCTAATCAGCATTTTATAAAGTACTTAGTGTCTGTTATTGCCTTTGCACTTGAGGGCTGAGGATCTCTTTTGCTTTCTTTTGCATTCAGCATTTTCTTTTTATAGTTTACATTCCTCTGTTATTTTTCCCTGGCCAAACCTCCAACTCTACAGAAGTAGAACTGAAAAGGATGGTTTTTAATTCAACTTTTTGGTCGATAGTAAACATTGTAAATGTGATAGGTGCAAAATACCACAAGGAGTGCCGCCAAAATTCTATCCAAACAAATACTTCTTGGAAGGGCAGAAGAAATCCAGGTGGAAATAAATTTGCAAATGTTTTCTGGATCTCCTGTCCCAAGATTTCTCAGAGCTCTATCCCACCCTCTGTGTCTCAGAGGTGTGTGGTTCCCAGGAGCAAAAAGATGTTGGCCAAACAACTCCTCCTGGATCTCAACAGGCCGACACTTGAATGTGCCACAGCTCATTTTAAGAAGAAGGTCTTCATAACTATAATGGTTTAAAATCCCATGGAAGTGTAAGAAAGGCCATCAGTCACCAGCTCTGCTGAAGTTAAAAGTAATATCACTGCAGTTTTGATGGACAGTTCTACTTTGTGTGTTTAGTTTCATGTTGGGTGTGATTATTTTTGAGTTTTGGAGGTTTGTTTCTTGGTTTTTAATCATACTTAGCAGCTGCTTAGTTCTGCAAGTTCTTTGAGACTCAAAGGATTTCCAGTAGTCTTTTCTTTCTGGAATGCTTCTTGATGTTCCTTATGTCAAACAGAACTTTTGCCTTGTTACAGATATGAACAATGACCATAGTTAACAAGCCAAAATCCTCAAAGTCTAAAAAATCTTCATCAAGAAGGTCTGACAAATCTATGAAACCCCGTACTAAAAAAATGACGTCACGCACCGCGAGTTTGGGCCGGGTACCACCTACAGAAGATCCAAACAAAGTCTCTGTGGACAAAGGCCCTGGAGGGCATATTTATTGTAGATCATCTCAAAAATCAAAGCCTTTTGCCCAAAGAGATCTAGGTAAGTGTGTCTTCCCCCTGTTTTTTTTTCAAAACAAAACAAAAGTAGAAGCAGTTCTTAGTTGTTGCACTGCTGTAAAATGGGACCATGATGAACCAAGACTTTAGTGGCAGACTTCAATTTTGTGCATCCCCTGAGGCAACTGAAGGGACAAGTGTTGCAGAACTTCTTTGTAAATTAGTTTTGATCTCTTTACAATCAAATTAAGGGCAGCTTTTCATAATACATAGATTTACCCAGGTCTTTCCTGTTGTGCAGAGGAAAGTACATTTTTCCATGGCTACTCATGGCTTCCATTAATCAGAAGTCTTTGAATGATGATGCTGCTCAGGGAGAGATCTGGTATCTGTAGGGTTACTTTCTGTGCTACTTACTTGCTTAGTTTTCTGTCTCAGTTCTTACTGTATAATTACAAGTGTAAGTTTGTGGTTTAAGTTACA